TACTAGCAGTGTGAACCCAGGCAAGTCATTTAACCCCGTTTGCCTCAGTTTCCTTAATTGTAAGATGGGAACAATAATAGTACCTACCTCCCTGAATTGTTGTGAGAATCAAATGAGAATATTTGTGAAAAGTGCCTGATACATAGTAGATGCTTAATAAATGCTTGTTTTCTTCATTCCTTTCCCCGTTTATTGATGGGCATATAGTGATTTTTTTTAACCTTATAAAGACAAAATAAATTAAAATTAAATTTAATGTGGCTGATCCAGGACAGATAATTCTAAGACTTGTATTATCCCCCAAATCTTAAAAAAACAAAACAAAAACAACCAGCTTTTATCTAAAAGATAAATGAAAAGAGCAAGGGGAAATGTACAGTTGGCTAAAAAGAATATTTACATCACAGAAAGCTGAGTATAATGAGCAATAAGAAAATTATTTTCTTTTCTCTGTCTCCCTTTTTAAGAGATTCCACGAATGAGTTAGGGTTCTATAAGGATTTTCGAATAGTAAGAAGGAAAGAGCAGAGTTTAGCCAGAATTTGAGGTCAACAGTACTCTTCAAACTTTCAAACTTCTGCTGGAACAAGAGAATTTGGTAAGGTAAAATATTCTCTTCCCAGGGAAATCACAAATCCATTTTGATAGGCATTGGAAATATGTCTTAGTATAATAATCTGTTTGGAGTTAATTAAGGAAGAGAGCTCATACTGATAGGACTTCCCTAGTTATATTTGTTTAAATAAAGGATGTAGAGCAGACATTTGTCAGTCTTTGATAAAGCCACTCACATATCTTTTGTTCTGGGCCTCATGTTTAACAATCCAGCATCGTACTGAGGAGTACAAAAACAGCTTTGTCTTTTACAAATGGACCAACCTAAGATAAACAATACTTTTTAAATATACCAATCACAAACAAACTAAATGAGGATTAATACAGGTATTGGTGAAATTCCTTAACTTCTCACCTAATAGTTGACTTACTCTGTTTAGTTAGGTCCCTCTTCTCCTTGGAGGTGGCCTTCTGATTATTTGTAGCAAGGAAATCGTTTAGCAAATAAAGTTGAATTCTAGTGGAAAAATTATTCATTTCCATTATTGCATTTCTTCTCCCTCATTAACTTCAAAGCCTTATTATTATTATTAACTTTATTAAGTCTGTAAGGGTCAAGGAGTATTGTTGAAGAAGGTAAATAAAACCTGTATTAAGAGAATGAATGTCCGAAAAGCTTACACTGGCCTATCATAAGACAAGGGTTTGTACTTATGTTGGAGTACTTTGGCACAAAGTTTTGAAAGAAATCCGTCTTGACTGAAGTCTTGAAAAAGTAAGGTCAGACTTTCCACTTCCAGGAGCCAAAATGGCGGAGTAAAAAGGTAGTGGCTCTCACCCTCCCCAATCAACCTCTGAAAACCCAGAAACTATCACCCTGGAACAGCAGAACCAGAAGAAAGACGGAGAGCAGCAGTGCAGCCGCCCAGCAAACGGGTCTCCCAGTGCCTCAGCAAAAATAAGGGAAGCAGCAGTACAAAGGGCCCCAGGTGGATAAGCACCATGCAGCATTCATCTGAAAGGAGCTGAAGAAAGCAACCAAGAGTCTTCCTAAAGTTCCAGCCTTGCTGATTCCAACCCAACACCAGGTAAGTTGCCAAAACCCTACAGCCTCCAATTGCCAATATAAGAGGCCCCAGCACACAAAGCCAGTGACCAAGACCTAGGCTGCCAACACAAGAAGCTTGGGTCAGTGCCCTCTGTTCCCCAGCAGGAGAGCTCAATCTCTTTAAAGGCCAGGGAATAAAGAAACCATGAGTAAAAAGAAACATAACATAGATTCATATTATGAGAAGAGTGAAGATCAAGACAGAAATTCTGAAGAGGACAGCATTGTCAACATCACATCTGCAACGTCAAAAGGGAATATGAACTGGTCTGAAGCCCAAAAAACCTTCTTAGAAGAGCTCAAGAAGGATTTTTAAAAGTCTAATGAGAGAAGTAGAAGAGTCCTTAAAAAATACAATTGGCCAATTGGAAAAAAAGTACACTGAAGAAAACAAGTCCCTAAAAAACACAATTGGCAAACTGGAAAAAAAGTACACTGAAGAAAACAAATCCCTTAAAAATACAATTGGCCAATTGAAGAAGGAAGTACAAAAACTAACAGAAGAAAACAATGTTAAAAACTAGAATTGGACAAATGGAAACTAATGACACTATGAGAGGGCAAGAATCAGTCAAACAAACAAAAAAAACGAAAAAATAGATGAAAACATAAAATACCTCATCAGTAAAACAATCGACCTGGAAAATCGATCCAGGAGAGACAATTTAAAAATCATTGGACTTCCTGAAAATCATGATGAAAAAAAGAGCCTGAATAGTATCTTTCAGGAAATCATAAAGGAAAACTGCTCAGAAGTCCTAGAAAGAGAAGGTAAAATAACCATAGAAAAAATACACCACTCACCACTTGAAAGAGATCCCAAATTGACAACACCAAGGAATATAATAGCAAAATTCCAAAATTACCAGATGAAAGAGAAGGTGTTGCAAGCAGCCAGAAAGAAACAATTTAAATATCATGGAACAACAGTCAGGATTGCACAGGACCTTGCAGGTTCTACATTAAAAGACTGCAGGGCATGGAACATGATATTCCATAAGGCAAAGGAGCTTGGATTGCAGCCAAGGATCAACTACCCTGCAAAAATGAGCATGATTTTTCAAGGGAGGAGATGGATATTCAATGAAATAGGGGACTTCCAAACCTTCCTCATTAAAAACTAGAGCTCAACAAAAAATTTGATCTTCAAGTACAAGATTTAAGAAAGACATAAAAAGGTGAAGGGGACAGAAGGATACAAAATATTGTTAATAAGGGCAGACTGTTTACATCTCTACAAGGGAAGATGACACTTGCAACTCTTGAACTGTATTGTTATTACACCATGTTAAAGGAGTATACATAAAGGGGGTGGATATTAGTTGACTTTGATGTAATGATAAAAAAAAATCTAATCAAGTGGGTTAAATGGATCCAAGTAAGTGGATTAGTCTGATCTTAGAAAATGTACTGAGAAAGGAGGAGGCAGACAAGGGTAAATTACAGGAAAAGACAGAAAATCCTGTTACAGCAGAGGGAAAGAAGGGAGAGGGGTGAGTATTGTTTGAACCTTACTCTCATCAGATTTGGCTCAAGAAGGGAATAATAATCAGGTATAGAAATCTAACTTGCCCTATAGGCAGTAGGAGGGAAAAGGGGAAAGAAAAGGGAGGGGGGATAGAAAGGAGGGAAGAAGCAGTAAGGGCAAAGGGGAAGAAAAGGGAAAGGGATAATAGAAGGGAGAAGAGACTGAAGGAGGTGGTGGTCAAAAGCAAAACACTGGGGGGGGAAGGAGAAAGGAGAAGGAAAAGCATAAACGGGGTGGGGAAGGATGGAGAAAAAGACAGATAGTAATCAAAACTGTGAAAGTTGAATCGCCGTCTTTTTTTTTTTCCTCTTCTGTTGAGTTTTATTTCCTCTTTCTGATGGTTCCTCCTATTGGTCTTAATTTTTACTTACAACTTCACTAATGTGAAAATATGTTTAATAGGAATGTAAATGTATAGCCTGTATCATATTGTGCACCATCTTGGGGAGGGTGGGGGGAGAAAGGGGGAGAAAAATTTTAAACTCAGAAGCATATATGGAAGTGATTGTTGATAAATCAAAGTAAATAAAATTTTTTTTAAAAAAAGTAAGGTCAGATAAAGTAGTGGCCATCAGCAGCCTGGTTATTTCTTTATCAAGTGCAAGCCATGTACTCTGTGACTGTGTTTAGATCCTGGCTGGGGCAGGAGCTTGGTTAAAACAACATTGAAAAGCAGAGTCTTTTTTTACTTCTTGCTTCTTCATAACTCCCCTCCCTTGCTTGTTCATCTTTTCAGTGTGACTACCTACTTTGTAAAAGCCTCTTGTTATAGGCAGCTTGTGGATAGATAGAGTGCTAGGTCTGTAGTCAAGAAACCTGAATTCAAATGTGGCCTCAGACACTTACTAGCTGTGTGACCCTAAGAAAGACATTTAACTTTTCTGTTTGCCTCTGTTTCCTCAACTTTGAAGTAGGTACTTGCAGGGTAGATCATTGGTGAATAAAGGTCAATGAAAACATTTAGTGCAATGGCTGGCACATAGTAGATGCTATATAAATGCTTATTTCCTCCCTTCTCTCCCGTTATATCACTGAGAGACAGTAGGGTTTAATGGTGTAGCCAAGATGACCTAGGTTTGAATTCTGTTTCTGATATAAATGCACTGTGTGAACTCTGGATAAGTCATTTGAACTATCATTACTCTGGACAACTCTCTCTCTCAAATTAAATTATAGAACAGTTGTTGACTTTGTTTGGTGGAGGGAGTTTCCACACTGGGATTTCTACATCCTGATGGAATCAACTTTCCCTCCCCTAAAAAAAAATAAAAAGACCAAGTGACCTTACCCCTTAAGTTGGGAGATTCAGATAAGGTTCCTTTAGTTGGTATTCAGTGTTTCAGTAGCTTAAGATAGGTATCTACTTTAAATCTTTAGAACCATAGAATGTTAGCACTGGAAAAGGGAGCTTAGAGATCATCAACCACTTCATTTTCCAGTTGAAAGAAACTGAGGAGGGGCAGCGAGGTGGTGCAGTAGAGGGAGCACTGGCCCTGGATTCAGAAGGACCTGAGTTCAAATCCAGCCTCAGACAACTTGACACTAACCATGTGACCCTGGGCAAGTCACTTAACCCCATTGCCTAGCCAAAAAAAAAAGAAAGAAACTGAAGTCCAAAGTTTTTGAAGTGACCAGCCCAGGGTCATATAGCTACTAGTATCAGCCAGGCCAGGCCGTAAGTCTCCCCTCTCAAGGCCCAGTGTTGGGGGAGTTGAGGTCAGGAGAGAAAAGCTCTAAGAAGGAACAACAGGTAAGAAATTTCCTTTAGTTTATTACTAAACTTAAACCAAGTTCTCATACTGTTACTAGGTTGGAGGCACGTATGGTAAGGATATAACCTCCAGGGTGAAAGACGAACCAATCGCTGTATGTAAAACTTTCAATCAATTTAAGTTTCAAGCTTTATCTATTCCCTTATTTCACTTAGTAGGATAGCTTCCTGAGCTTCAAGCCCCTTGAGTGTTTTATATTTAATTCATTCAAGGGTTATTGCTTTTTGAAATGAAAAACCAACACTCTATTAAAGCTTTCCTTGAAGAGTAACGATTTCCCAAATACTCATAATTAAAGCATTTACTGCTTTAATTCCTTCATAATGAAAAAAACCTGTGTTTCCTATCCACTGAGGATTCTAATATGGGTGTGGGGGAAGTACAGGAAATGGCAAGAACTTAAGCAAGCTGTGAAACCTCAAGATGGCCATAGATTTTTAAGAATAAAAAGCTTGGAGCCTAGCTCATATTAACACATTCTTGCTTTACCCCCTTTTCTCCTTTGGTGTCCTGGTTATGGTGATATATTGGTCTGTTTATGAATGACATTGGGTGATAAGTTGCTTAAGCCATGCAGGTGTGGTAAACTAACCTAACTGCTTTGAAATGAGGCACAATCTACTTAATTGCTGAACACTGCTTGGATTCTTTGAGAGCTTGTGCATGCCCTTGATTTTTTTTTTAATGACTTGCAGAAATACCATAGTTGTATGGGATTTCCCTTTTTCTTTCAGGTACAAGATTTTAGTTGGATAGTTTTGAGAAACAACTTTAGGAAAAGGCTTTGGTCAAATGCACTTTAATGCCATAATATCATTCACAAAATAGTACAGTGGCTCCCCCCCCATTTCATTTAATGCCTACATTTTAAAAATGTTACCATTTAACTGGTAAGGTCCCTGCCGGTTTTATGAGTAAAGTTTTTCTATCTCTGTGTCTTTTGTGGAGTTTACTTTTGTTTTTTATCCAAAAGTAGAAAGTACAAAAAAAAAAAAACACAACCCAAAAATAGAAAGTGGCTAAGGGTTTGAATTCTTCAAAGCTCATTGATTGGTACTTTCAGAGAGGTTTGTGACACAGTGAATAAGATAGTGAAAGAAGGTGTTATTTAGACGTATAACTTGACATCTACTTCCCCCCTTTGCCACCTCTGTAGGACAAGATACCCTTGATTATATACTTTGCCCATTAGGACAAAATCTGAAAACTAAATTTGCTAAATTATGTGTACATGGGAGCTTAATACTATTGGTAGATGACAGCTATATGACACCTTTACAGTGGACTGAACTTCAGGAGAAACAGCAAAACAGATTTCCTAATACTTTAAATAGTAAGTTGTACAAAATACAACATAGTATTTTCCTATGGTATTCTTTCCCTTGTCCTTCATGTTCTTAGCTATTTGCATTCAAAAATGTTGAACTTGAGTTTGAAAGGACCTTTGGTGGTAACAGAATTAAATGTCTACCCATGTGTTCCAGGGTATGAAAATGGTACACATACAAAGTGGACTAAGAGGTCCTTCCTTTGGGGCAGATTTGGTTAACTTTGCCTCTCCTAAGGTTTGTTCCATCCTTTCTCCCGTCTTTTAGGTTAATGAGCAGTTTCATAGATGCACAGCGTTCCAGTTTACAAAACTATTTACCAGAATACAAATTAATGGTGCTCGCTGCAAACACAACTTCTACTGATTGGCTTTCTGCACTATTAAAGAGTTCAGTTGTTAAAACATTTTTTTCTAATTCTCTTTCTTTGTGTGTGTTTTTTAATAGGATGTTTTCTTAATTTGCTTTTCCCTTGTGAGTCCTGCATCATTTGAAAATGTCCGTGCAAAGGTAAGGGGAAATTCAATTTTTTAGATTAGTATTTTTGCCTTAGGGATTATTTATTTTTTATTGTTAATGGTAATTTCAGGAAGAAATGTTTTTGAAACCTACATACCATTATGAGTTATAAAATAGTTGTTTTGTAGTCCTTTACATTAAGAGGAACATTGTTTTTTATCATGAAAGAAGGTAACTGTGACTACAGCTTTTGAAAGTTCTAACACATTTTAACATTGTCTGCTTAAAGAAATTGCCATTGAGAGGACTTAGTGGGATGAGAAGTGTCCTCGCTCCATATTGTAGAAAGAGAAAATTAGATTTGCATCCTTAGAGACTGGAAGTTGAGTCCCAATACCTTGTTATTGTGTCTAAAAACATATTAACTCCTGTGAAATTCTGTGTGTTCCTCAGAACTTAAGAGGGGGACAGTTTCCTTCCTGGAATATTCCAGTTAGTCACATTTCACTAACCGCCTGATAAATCTCAGGCAATCATTTATTTCACTAAATTTTGGGAGTTTTAAGAAAAACTAAATCCAATATAGTGTTCCTGATCTAGGAAAAATAAGAAACTTTTTCTCCTTAAGAAAAATCTATGATTTAAAAGAGAACAGAATACATTTTGCACACTGTTATTCCTTTTAGTGACTAGTGTCACTAGGTGGTGGTGGTACAGCATTTGGAAACCTAGCTTCATCATCATGATGATGTCATGCTGATTTAATGGCAAACAAAAGAAATTAAACTCTGCATAATACAATTTTCATTTCTTTCTTTCAATTGTCTAGTGGTATCCTGAAGTGCGACACCATTGTCCTAACACTCCCATAATTCTAGTGGGCACTAAACTTGACCTTAGAGATGATAAAGACACGATTGAGAAACTAAAGGAGAAGAAGCTGACTCCAATAACCTACCCACAGGGCTTAGCCATGGCAAAGGAGATTGGTATGAAATCTGAACTGTTTACATTTTCTGGCTGCTTTGCACAATATCATAAATAGGGGATTTAGAGAACCTATTTGCCTTTGAATGTAGCCAAATCAAGTTTGGAACTTGCAGAGTAGAGATATTAACAAGCGTATCAGTATGACGTCATTATAGTAAGTCATTCTTCTTTCCTTAACTTCTTGTGTTTCTTTACAGGTGCTGTGAAGTATCTGGAATGTTCAGCACTCACACAGCGAGGCCTCAAGACAGTGTTTGATGAAGCTATTAGAGCGGTTCTTTGCCCACCCCCTGTCAAGAAAAGGAAGAGAAAATGTCTGCTGTTGTAAATGTTACAGCCCTGCCCTATTCCCCTTTGAACCTTTGTAAGCTTTGCTTAAACAGTGGAGCATTCACTCAATGCCAAGTTTTTGTTATAAATTAGTTTCTTTCCATAAAACCTTCTGAACCAATCAATAATTTCATGGTTTTGTTTAAAGTGTTAGAGAATGATTTTTTTTTCACATTCTATTACAACTAAACCCTAAAAAAGACAAGCCTACTTAAAGCCTTATTTTTCAAAAGCCCTGTTCTTGCTCAGATTAAGTGTTGCCAAAATATCCACTGAACTAAGTTGCATTGTTGTGCTATGAACACTAAGCACTAAACTGTGTTTTAAAGACCTTTGTCTTTGAGAAGACTGTTTTAATTTCTGATAGTAGGAAATGCAAAAACACTTTCTAACTCATTTTTCAGATATGTAAAACAGTACAGTATACTTAGTGAAAATGTTTAATGCATTGAATAATTTATCAACCCATGTTCATTATATAACATTGTACTGTATATCAGAATGGAATGTGTATAACCAAACTATAGTCTTTGGATCAATCTTTTGCTTTCACAGTAAAGATTCTTTCAAGAATCAAACTCTTGCTGTGATTTCAAACAGAAGTCCCATGTGTGTTTTTGTTAATGGAGTATTCTCTTTAACAGCAATGTTTTTGGGTTGGATTATTTGAAATATTTGGTTTCACCATGGAATAAAGACAGTATTTTGACATACTCTGGAACCTAGGATTAATTTACACTACATTGTATACTGAAGAGTGGAAAACTGAATAAATTTTGTCACGGGTAAAAAGTTTAAAAATCATAACCGTTAACATCTGTCAAATGCAGTAGATAAGAAAGGTTGATGTTCTTGGTAAGTGTTTTGTTTCTAAGCTTTTCTTTTTTCTTCTTTTTCCCTTCCCCCAAGTAGGGCATTCATTTAATACAACTCTGAACTGGTCATTCCCACAGTTGTGAACTTAAGTAAATGCTTTTTTCATCAAACCCTTTCTTACTGAGCAATATTACTCTACTTGTATTTTAAAAATCTTTCTCATTATGTATTAGAACTTTGCATTTTTGTAGTTTAGAAAAAGCGCATTCTTTTCATGTTACCTTTGTTTTAACTACTTTCTTTAGTCTTCGCTAGTAACTAGGTGTAAAAATCATGTGATTCAGCTTTACAAAACTTTTTTTTAATATACTTTAGCTATTAAAATATGAACCTTCTTAAACATCACTGTATTGCCAGGTTACCAACACTGTAACACTACTAATGTCGACCCTGTTCTTGACCTCACTTACATGTACACATGCTTTCTATTGCTTTTCCTAGTAACGTGACCTCGGGCCTGTGAGGTTCTGTCAGCTTAGTGCTAATGCTAACAATGTTCTGTACATCCTAAACACTGGCAAGAATATACAATATTGAACTACAACCTTTCAACCACTAGAACAAAATTTTGAAGATGCAAAAGTTGCAAAATTGTGGAGTGTTTTTACATTGATCTTTTGCTAATGCAATTAGCAGTATGTTTTGCATGTATGACTTAATAAATCCTTGAATCACGTTACTGGTAATGCTTGCATTTTTGAGAATTTTGTGAATGGTCTAATAAATGTTCCTATTTGCCATTTTTTTGATAAACTGTTTTGGGGTTAAAGTTCCTGGAAATGTTATTACAAATGTTCTGTTGCTTAAGTACTGTCAATGTAAAATAGCTGCAGTGTTTTAACACACATCTCATTTAACATGAAGGTAATTATTAGTATACTATATTAGTAATAGTATCATCCCTGCTTTACAGGTAGGAAGACTCAAGGAGTCACTTGACTAAGGTTCAGTCCCATCTCTTAACATTCAGGCTCTGGTGCATCCCTCAGTAATTAACTATTTCAGCAAAGAAGCCAGTCCTTAATACAGGGTTTTTTATATACTAAAGCTAAAATGACTGTTTAAAAATCATCCTACTGGTACTGTTGTTTTTAGAAGTGTGCTATGTATGACTGAGTATATGAGTTATCACATCTGACAGAAGTGCCTACCAATTCTGTAGTCTGACATTTTTCTTAAAAATACTTGCAAAGAATATACTAAGAAAATATTTCTTAGCTTCATCTTTCTTCCTGGCCTTTTGTGGTTCGAAAAATGCATGTTGAAGCTAAAGATTGATAGCAGTAAGAGAAAAGAGGTTTTGGAAAGTTGTGTTGTTCTTTTGTTTAAAAAGTGTTTTTAAAGTATTTACATTCCCTGCACATACACATCTAACAACTAGTCTTAGAATCCTTACCACAAAAAATACTTGCTTGCTTTAATGGCAGAAGCCCTTAAAGCAACTATCCTTGAGAACTGAAAGTGCAGCAAAGGCATAAAAGAGAAGTGTCTAAAGATCCTTTTTGCATTGCAGACCCAGCCCAAGTCCCAACATTTTCATAAAATCTTCAGATTTGGAGCTGCAAGGGACTGCTAAACCCTCATTTTACAGATGAGGAAATGGGAGCCTAAAAACCTAGTCAGCAAATGGCAGAGAAAGAGGTTGAACACATTCTAACTCCAAAGCCTGACTCATTGCCTGGAGAATTTTTAAAAATACATACAAAATAAAATTACAAGAGAAAACCAGGAACCTAGTGACTTTTGTTTTTCTGACCTTCCCCCCCACCCCACCCCGTTACACTGACAAACCAGAAAAAGCTAATGATAAAGATAATTCACAAAACATTTTGAATTAAGGGAAAAGGGGCAATATAAGCTAAGTTCAATCAATGTTGCTTATGTGCTGGGCATTGCTTATATTGTCATTTGTAATATACCCTGCCAGACCATGGGTTGCTTTCATCAATCATCCGTTGTTATTCCTGAGCTAGAAAAATTGAAGAAACAGTGCCAATTTGGCCCACCACAAAAAATTATATTTTAATGCTCTACTCTTTACTGCATCATTTTCATATCCCAGTGATTTGTCACCACTACTAAATAAATATATTTATTAAATACTTATTTCACAGTACAATCAAGCAATAATTGAACCATTGGCTATGTATGAAAATGCATGCTTCATTCTGCTTGCATGGTGGGAGGCAGGTTTCATTGTGCTCTTGTGATTAGCATCAAATTAGAGTTCTGAAGTCTTGAGGATGACTTGTTCTGATTCTACTTGCTTCATTCTGCATCAGTCCACACAAGCTTCTCAAGTTTCTCAGAATTATAAACATTTTCTTTTAGATTCCATTACATTGCAACACCATCATTTGTTCAGCCATTGCCCAGTGGGTATCTACTTGCCTTCCAGCTTTTTACTATTCTAAATATTTTTGTTTAAATGGGACCTCTCCTCTTTCTGACCGTTCTTGGCATGTGAGCCTTGCTGTGTTTTCTAATGTGGATGGACCAGCCGTCTGTTTTCTCTGACCCCACTAACCATTTTCTCTATCACATAAATCTCCATTTACTGGCCCCTTCCCTACAAACCTGTTTGGGTTTCCCCTCTCCTTGAAGAATCCTCAAATCTGCTGAAATTGTTCTCTCAAGTTACCAACAATTTCAGCTGCTAGATCCAATGTTTTTCTCAGTCATCATTCTTGATTTTCTTTATTGTTTTTTTTTCCACTGTTCACCACAACCACTCACTTCCAGCTCCTGGAAAGTCCTTTGGCTGTTGGATGTCTGGCTATCCCTCAGCCTGCCTTTGCATCTACCACCAAAGCACCTGGGTGGTTCTAATGGTTACTTCCAAGGCAGTGTGATGAATGGACAATAGGTTTGAAGCAAAGACGACCCGATTTCTAATCCTGCCTCTATGCCTGTTTCCTCATCTATAAAATTTGGTGGTTGTACTTGTTAGCCCCCAAGGCCTCTTCTAGCTCTACATCTGGGCCTATATGCTGCTTCTCCCTGATTTCATGCTTTGTGAGTTAATTCTACAGAGATGACTCACAAACCCCAAAAACCTAGTTTTACTTGTTCAACTTGACAAAGAACCTTTCCATCTCTCTCCTGATCATCCACTAAGGCAGTGGGGTATAGTAAGCAGTTAGTAATGAACCTGGAGTCAGAGCCTCATACACTAGATATGTGACTGGATGCAAATCACTTAACCCGTTTGGGCCTGAGTTTTCTCATCTGACCTCTTTTAAGGTTTCTTCTAGTTCTCAATTTATGATCTATAGCATTACCTCCCAATTCACAACGGAAAACATCATCTTAACTCGGGTTCATAACCTCACCATCATGCTTTATTTTCTTCTCCCTGACTTCCATATCTAATTACAGAATTTCAGTTGAAAGGGACCCAAGAGGTCAGTTAATCCAATCTGCCCCTGTCCAAGCATCCCATTTACGTACACCAACAAATGGTCATGCTGCCTTCATTTGAAGACTTCCAGAAAAGATAACTTTTAGACTGCTGTAAATGTTAGGAAATTTTTCTATCAACTTAAAATCTACCTCATATTTTCCATCTATTACTCATTATTCTTACTTCTGCTTTATTATTTCTAGAATTAAACACTCTGGTTTGGCACGTTAAACATTTAACAGACTACCTTTCCTGATTTTACTTCCTCTCACACTCGACATCCAGCCCAACTGGATTCCAACTCCCCTCACTGCTGCTTGGGTTGTCCTCATTCCCGGCATGCACCACCTCACCTTTCTGAATCTCTTACTTCCTTCAAAGTTGGCCACACCCCCTATTAAAAAAGTAATTTTGTACATATCATACTGGCGTGTACCTTTTGTTTCTCCTGACAAAAACGAAACACTTTCTGAGGGCAGGTAGGGAGAAACGGTTTCATTTTTTAATCTGCATCCCTAGCATAACGCCTGGCAAGCAGAAGACATTTAATATGTGCCTGTTGATTGCCAAGGCCTAGTAAAATAAATTTTCCATGTCACTGCCCTCCAGATACTTGAAAATGGCTATCATATCCCCATTTGTCTTCTCTTTTTAGGCCAAACATCCTTACCTTCAAAAGACGCAACACAACATGGTCACCATCCTTATTGGCTTCTTCTGGATTCTTCTTCCCAATCTCACATCTATTTGGGCTTCACTCTAAGGGTCACCACCCTAGTTAAGACCCTCATTATCTCTCCTGGAGTAATGTAATACCGTTTTCTAGATACCCTGTAATAGTCTTCCAATTAGATGTAGTTCCACATCCATACAGGTGCAAAGATAAATCTTAGACCAGACCTGACCAAAAAAAAAAAACTCCAAGGGTTTCCAGAAGAATAAAATACAAACTCCTTAGCTTGGCATTAAAACCATCTGGTTCCAACCTGCCTTTTCAAATGTATTTCACATATTCTACATTCCAACCAAATCAAGACCACCAGCTGCTCCCCAAAAGCATTCTATCCCCTCTCCCCTTGCCTTTTCCCAGGCTATTTAGCACACCCAGAATTTACTCTCTGCTTAACTCCCATCTCTCAGAAGCCTTAAAAAGCTGAGCCAAGTTAACTCCCCCATCATGAAGCTTTGCCTGATGTCCAATTCCTGCTGCTTTCTAATCACCCTTTATTGACTTGTCATTGTATAGAATGCATCCGTCAATATAAAGTAAGTTCCCCAAAAGTAGTAGCTTTCATTTTTGTCTCGGTATACCCCAGTGCCTTACATGTACAGTGTAAACTTTCACCTAATTGAACTGAATTATAATTCCCTCCAAGGCAAATAATAAGTGACATTTTAATAAAGTAACACATTTTAATAATTTGTTCAACAGGGTTTGTCTACACAAACAAGGGATAAGTTTATTGTGAAAGGGTCACAATCCAATATATCTTTGGGGCTCACTTGCAGTCCAGATTATTTCTAGTGCATGAATGTCACATGAAAAATTAACTTAAGTAAGCATTTAACTTGGAAACATTTTAATAAATTTAGACTAACAGGAAACGTTGTTACAATAGAAAAATGCAAGAAATGCCACTTGAACAAGTTGTTTTATTTCTCAAGTTATAAAAACTTGTTTCATGGCCTAATTTCTAACTTATAGCCTGTAGCATAAGGATTTAGGTGAAAATAAAACTAGCTAAATTGATCTTTTTAAAAAATGGTTTGACCCCATATTTGTTAACCAAAATTGTAAAGAGATGTGGCTGATTTGCACATTAGTTAACATGAAGACAAACCACTGATTGGCAGAATGATTTTACCATCACTGCCTTCTGCTGTGAAAGGACTGGCAGTATGCCAAAACAGAATGTTGGGCCTGAGGTCAGGAAAGGTCTGGGTTCAAATTCTGGCTCTAATGCCTAAGTGTGTGACTGTAGGCATATCACAGCCCCTCTGAGCCTGTTTTCTCTCATAAAACACAATTATTACTACTTGTATTGCCTATTTCACAGGGTATTGTGAGGAATGTACTTTGTAAACCGTGAAGAGCTATATACAGAATGTGACCTATTATCACAATGGCTTGCATTTGATTCCACAGAAAACCAGTGATGTGGCACCACAGCTTTCTCCAAAATATCCAACCCAGAAGCAGGCACATGATGTCATATCCCAGAATATTCCTTGTACAATGAACATGTCACTTAATGTCTAGCACAACCGAAACTCCTATGTTATAATGAAACATAGCTAGACAGTAGAGAGTGTGTGTGTGTGTGTGTGTGTGTGTGTGTGTGTGTGTGTGTGTGTGTGTGTGTGACCCAAGGAGTCTATCAGGAACTCAACAGATACACAAATGTTCTCTACCACCCTCCACCCACAAAAAAAAATTTGTTTACACAAAGAACAGGTAAATTCATTATGGAAAGGTCACGTTTTCTCCAGCATAGCTTCTAGGTAGGGCTCCCTTTCAGTGACAATTTCTAGCAGATGAGTGTCCCTACCAGCGGGGAAGCTCCCACCACCAATACATATCTGTAATTTCTGCAACTTATAGACTATAGTCTTAGACAGCTGCCTGGGATTGGATCACTGTCATCCCATAGTCAGTCATCCTGACTCAGGCCTGATATCTATTTACTATGACACAATGCCTCTCAATTTGTTCTTAAGTAAAACTTGGTCTTCCAAAAGTTTAAGTGTAGTTTTAAGCTATTAAAGCCTAAAACTACAGTAAGACTTTTTGGAACACATTTAAGTACAGCATCTAGAGCAAAAAAGGTATATAGTCCCACTGTAATGTTAGACTATACTTGAAGCATTCAGTTCTGTGTGCCACACTTTAACCAGGCACTGATAAGCTGAAGAGGATAAGAAAACTTAAAACCATGCCTATTCCTTTTTTTGCAGATGAAGAAATAGGGCCAGAGAGGTTGTGACATAGCTAAGGGATATCCAGGTAGTTCATACATACTAGTACCAAAAATCTAGTAAAAACTGGTCTAGAATCTAAGCAACCCCTGTAGTTAAGAATATAAAGGATTCCAGAGAGTTAAATTAGACCAATACGTATAGTATGTTAATAGGAGGCAGATCTCTAAGAATTAGAATGATCCAAAAATGGAACAAACTGCTGTATTAGGAAATCAGCTTTCTATCACTAAGAGGTGTACAATCTATAACCACTTGTCAGTGAAGTAAAGAAAATTCATCCATCAGGCAGAGAGCTGAACTAGACCAACTGCTAATGTCCATTGTAACTCTAGGATTCTACAATCAGGAGCTACCGTCTTTTTGTTATCAGGCATCTGACGGTTCTATTTTTCACTCTTTCTAACAGTTAAGTAATCATACTTCCCCACCCCCCAAGATTTTTTTTTTGGGGAAGGGGGCAGGCTACATTATGTTTTGACACCAATCACTTCCCAACAAATAACACAACCCCCATTCCCATGGTGTTTTCCCACCCAAAAAGTTAAGCAAAACCACCTTAGCATTTTGACTAATGGGCCATAATGCTTTTAATTTTGTAGTTTACCATTTGTAAACAGAAAGTATGGGTACTTTAACTTAAAACAATTTAGAACACGGAGAAAAAGTGATCATTAGGCTTTTGCTAGGAAAACTACAATAAGACAATCCATTCCACTTTTGAAAAGTTCTGTTAGGAAGTTTTTCTGGAAAATTAAAAAAAAGGGGGGGGATTAAACTTATTTTGCTTAAACAAGGAACAATGGGGTAGAAATTGCAAAGAGAAATTTAGGCTCTTTTCTTTCTACACTTAGTAACCTCATCAGCTCCCATGAGCTCAATTATTATCTCTGTGCAGGTGACTCCCAGATTGACTTATATACTTAGCCTTCATCCTTCTACTTCCTCACATCATGGACTACCTAATGGGCATTTCAAAATGACTGTCACTTGAACCTCACTATATCCAAAACAGTAACCCATTCCACCAGCCCCTCTTGAAAACCTAACCCCTCCCCCAAGGATGTCATCAACTCCATGTTCACCCCACAAACCCAATCATTTGCCGAATGTCATTTCTACTTCCTGTTTCTCACACCTGTCCTCTTTTCTATTCACAGAGCCATCACCTTGGCTCAGGCCCTTATCACCTCTTTCCTAGGCTCTTCCAACAGCCAGACTGGTCTTACAGATCTTTCCCCATTGGAACCCATTCTTCCACATAGCTGTCCAAGTGATTTTCTTAATTGTACATTTGAACAGGCTACCTCCCTCTCAAATTCTAGTGGCTCCCAAATGGATAAAATATAAACTCTTCCGTTGGCATTTAAAGCCCTTCATAAGTTGGTCCCAACCTAACTTACCATACTCATGCCATTTTATTCCTCTTCCTGAAATGGACAGTCTGGACCACTGGTGTCAAACTCAAACAAAAGGGGAAAGGGGTAGGGCTCTAAACCATACACAAGGATCGCTAATAAACATTTACTGACTTAGAAAGATACCCATTAATATTATCTCTGTTCTACTGTATTTTTTAAAAAAATTTTTTCCCAATTACTTTTTAATTTGGTTCTGGCCACACTTCAGAGTATTGAGGCTGCATGTGTGACACCTTTAGTTTTAGACATGATGATTTACTCAAGTTATCCTCACACACAGCTCACCCATCTGGCCTTTGCATGTTCTTTATCTCATGCCTGAAATATCTGCCTAACTTACTAACCTCTTGAAATTCTTGTTTTCTTTAAGACTCAGATCAAGTACTGCCTTCTACAGACTGCACGAAGCCTCCAGGATCTCTTCCTCCCCAAAACGTCTCTAATTTACTTTGTATATATTCTGCATATGTAAATAAAAAGTTGCCTCCCCCATCAGAGTGTTAAATTCCTTGAGGGCACGAATTCTTTCATTTTTGTCTTTGCATCTCCTATGCTTAATAAGTATTTGTTGGTTTATATCAGGAAAAAATTCTTAACAACTTGATCTATCCAAAAATGGAATGTTTCAAAAGGTAATTGGTTCCTCCGCATTTAATGCCTTCAAGCATAAATGACTACTTAATGGAGACGTTGTAGTGAGGATTCTTTTTTGGGCATGAGTTTTACTAGATGGCTAGTAAGCTTCCTTCCAATACCAAACCTCTGTGATTCTTTTGAAGAGAATATGGGTGCCCTTAAGGTGACCCTACTACCTATAAAACAGATCCAGTATTAAAACTATCACCTTTAAAAATTAAAAGTCATAAAGAGCATAAATTTTACTTCAAGATCAAGCAGCAAAAGGAAGGGTAGAGATTATAAATAAACTGTAATGAGAACACTGTCCTTCTAGAACACTCCAGAATGTGAATGGAATGTTCTCTTTCTAAATCTGAAGCCTCTACTCCATTCCTAGTCTTTTTTTTGAAGATATTATCATATTCACAAAAATTCTTAAGACTTCTATTTACAATAGCCCAGTATAAATACATGCAAAACATAATTGCTTTTTGATCACAGAGTAAAACATTAGTACTAACTTCTAGGAAACAAATTCCATACAAAAGTGCATCACTGTGAGTACTGTAGTAACCTGTGTAAGTGCTTTGTTTTTTGTTTTTTTATGATCTTTTATGATCCCCCAAAGAAGGGGAAAAAAGATACATAAGCCACTACAAAAAAAGAGTTTTACGTGAAAGAAGATTTATAAACAACAGTTCTGTTGATATTAGGGTGGAGTCCTAAAAGTGAAAAGCAAGTCCAAATAATGCAGAAAAGGCTCTTAATGATGGCTGAGGTCAGAAAGTACACACTGAGGGACCAGCATTCTCTGCTCTATGGACCTCCCTTCCTGCTCTCCCACAGTTTTAGGGAGGAGAGTTCCACTTGAGCAGAAGTCTGTGGCTAAGGGGGCTTACCAAAAGGATTCCCACTAAGAGTTCTCTACATAGATAGTTCAACGTTTATCTAAGGGGTTACTGACAGTATTTTGCCTCACCTCTCCCTGAGGGTAACCTTTTTATTAAAACTTTTTTTTTTTTGGCAAGGCAATCAGGGTTAAATGACTTGCCCAGGGTCACACAGCTAGTAAGTGTTTTATTGAAACTTTTAGCATATCCCTATGGAGATTTTTTTTTTGTCCTTGTCATGGCTAAATAAATTTGGGTTTGACTGAGTTAGGAAAATCCATGATTAAAAATGTATTACATATTTGGAAGCCTGGAGAAAAAAAGGATCAAATAAATTTAAACTTCTGAGATACTACAGGCCTTTCTGGTAAAGGGGTTGTATCTGAGGTAATTAAGCCCTGCAGATAAATTTCATGATTTAAAATATGGCTGTTAGATGTGACAATAAGGATACCAACCTCTATTTCTTGTGCTAAATTTCAGCCACAATTATAATAAGCCCCTTCTAAGATGGCTATGGGAAAGTAGCAATTTCTTTCAAGGCTGACAGAGAAAGTGGCCACATCCTTCTTTAAGTCTCCAAAAACAGTTTCCTATAGGCTCTTCTGCGATTGCTTTCATGTCTGGAAGTGCTTTCTCTCTTCATACCTGATTCTGTTAAAAGTATCATTTAAGGTTCATTCCATTAGTCACTCTTCCTCATACAGAGGTTTCCTCAAAGAGTACCTTCAAAATCCCCCCAGGTTAACTGGTTACTTCCAAGTGATGAAAACCCAATCTCTAATTTCTTTATAAATTATTCAAATACAAATCAGTCAGTTGTCCCAGAGGTATCCAAAATATGATGAAAAATACTGTTGTTTTCCAACAGCTATGGTTATACTATATTAGTATTAAAGTCTCCTTGTGTTGGACAAGAAATACAAGTTGCTCTCTCAGAGACTACACTATCTAAGGCTCTAATGAGGATGTCTGGCATGTGGTCCGTTAACATTTTAGGGCCTATAAGAATTTTGCTGAATTCTGCTTCGGTTGCCCACTTTGCATTATATCTGGAAGTAGAACAGCAATAAGACCTGAAAATAAGAAAAACAAAATAAGCTCTCAACAAATGCAAACATAACATGAGCTAACCTCAAAACAAAAACAAATCTTGGCAACCTGGCTCTTTCTGAGGAGACAATATAAAAATGTTGTGTATTTATTACAAGTCAAGCACATACTGATATTAGGCTCTACCACAAGTCTGACACCATTTACCAGTTATATTAAAACCATCTAGCTCTCTTGCCTGAAATAGACTGTATGGCAATCAATGTAACTGTGGCATATGCTAAACATTATTTTGTACATTCGTACATATAATATTAATTAATGTTTTCATTAAGCTGTTTTCTATACTCACCTCCCTGAACTGTCATCCTCAACAAGGTGGATAATTCTTCCAGGAGGATACAGATAAGGATACCGAGTTGGGGATTCTCTAGGAGATTCATCAAAAACATTGTATGAAGGTGACCCATGTATCAACAGACTTTGTTCTCCCAGCAGAGGCTGAGTCAGGTCTACCTGGTTTCCCCCTTCCAACTCTGTTGGGAAGTTATCTGGATCCCCTCCAAACAGTTCATACCAACATCCATGCAACAGGATCTTATACTGGATTATAACCAAAAACAAGAGAAAGGTTACTACCTAAGACCTTAATACTTATGTCTTGTTATATGAAAACTTATGAAGACACTGAATCTGGCAAATCAATCTGAATACGTGGCTAAGTAATTGCATAAAAGGCAAAACATACAAACGAACCAAAATCAATCCCACACCAATTATTTCAAGCTGGGATACTTCAACTATCTGAGAACTAATCATTCAACCTAATTCCTGGGGACATGTTACTCTAAACATCAGACAAAAAAAAATCAACTAAATAACTTTGATATGATCACAGATTACTAACATCTGGAAGGGATATTTGAGGTTATCTAGTCCAGGGCTTAAACTTCTTCCACTTGCAACTCCTTCAGCACTTCTTGTGACCCACAGTTTAAGAAGTGCTGAGTTTTAGTCCAATCCATTCACTTTATAGATGAGGAAACAGGAAGGATTTTTCAAGAGTATTAGAAAAATCTTTCAATTTTAAGCTGTGAATTTCCCTCTAACATCTCCATATAGCATCAAGTCTAGGCTAAAAATTATTTGTTGGGGCAGCTAGGTGGCACCGTGGATAGAGCACCGGCCCTGATGTCAGGAGGAGCTGAGTTCAAATGCAGCCTCAGACCAAACACCTGACAGTTACTAGCTGTGTGACCCTGAGCAAGTCACTTAACCCCAATTGCCTAAAAGCCAAAAAATAAAAAAAAAATTAAAAAAATTAAAAATTATGTTTGTTGGGGAACAGAGGGAAGATTTAAAAGGCACACGATCAAATTACCTTAGGCTTATTACAATGAGCTATCACTCTCAGTATTCTTCTCTTTAAATCTTCCAAGTTGGTCACACTTAACCTGTTAGGCAAAGAAAATCAGAAGAACTATGAAGTTTAGCTCTATAAAAACCTGGGTCCAGAGATATCCATGTAATTATAAGCCAGCCAATAGCCTTACCTTGGGATAACATCCTTTCCAAGAACAAGTGATACAATAAAGCTTTTGGAATATTCAGAAAGGGATTTGCTTAAAAAATAAAAACATAAATAAAGTTAGTTGCATTCTGACTAGCATGTCCTACTTAAGATTTTATAAACCTTACAAAGTCATTGAGATTTCAGTTTCCACAAAAGTTAGAGAAGATGGCTAGCTTCTAAAGGTAAGGAATACTACAGGCTTAACAATGGATTGATTATATTTCAATAAAGTAATATATAATGTCAACAATACTGAACTATTCAAAGTAAATGTAAAATCTCGCTTTAAGGGATTCTTCCAACTTAACACCATTTTATTTAATGTTTTCAGCTATATGTCTATGAACTAATCAGGCCTCCTGAATTATCTTTCAATAACATGCAATGCCCAATGAAACATACTACTTGGCAACAATAATAACTAAAAAATAATTTCTTCACTAAATATCCCCTCAGATTAATTAAAAACCCAGTGTAGAACTTATTTCAAAGACAAGATATTAGCAATTACTTATATCTTCCTTTACAAAATGATTATTTAACTCATCCTAACTGCATCAGTTATTAAGAGATGTCAGATCCAAGGTCTATTCAAATTCCCTCACCTCCACTAAAATTTTCTTTTTTTTAATCCAGTTGCCATCCTGGGTGTAAAGGTCAAGGGTAAAAGAAGCCACCTTAGTATGATTATAGCAACTAGTCTGTTTCTACATTTAAGAAATCAGGCAATTACCTCAGCAGTCCCCTGGGAGGAGAAAAGGCATAACACTTGACTTCTGGATAGGAATTTTTGAGCATGATGGCTAATAAAGAAGCTGCTCCTGCCCCCAGGCTGTGACCTACTACAACAAGCCGGTATTCCTACACACACACACACACACACACACAAAATAAAACAAAACAAGCAGAATTTAAGTAGGTAACATGCACATTTTTTACTACAGTAAAACACTTATGATCAAAAGACTTAGCACCAAAGTGTAGCTCAATGAAATCTGGTATTAAAAAAAATAAACCTCACAGGTGCAATGCTGAATGCTTGACTCAAAATTCCATCGCTGATCAATCTTTGGTAAACATATTTGGCAGCCTGAGAAATCCCCTAGAAGTTCAGAGAAAAAAAAGCTTATAATCTCCAAAGGAAGAAGTTTCAGCTATGATTTATTTGATTTTAAAAAATATCATGTTCTCAAATCAATCCCACAGCTGGCCTACTAACCCTGTCTTCATCTTCTCAATTGCTCCACATATATGCTTATGAAAACAAACACTGGAAATGGAGCCTTGAAGTTAAATGAAAATATAGCATTCTAAGTGAATCAACAGTCACAACATTTATTGAATGCCTTCTGTGTACTGGCAAGAGAGAAAGGCTAGAACCAGTAAAAAGAAGTTAGGAGAGAGGAGATTCACTCTAAATAAGGTTTTGTAACAGATCAGAGCTGTCCAACAAGTGAATGGGCTCCTCATCACAGGAAGTGTTAAAGCAGACCATTACGAGATGTTGTAAAGGGAATTCCTGCACAGAATGTGGCGTTTCAGTAGATCATTTCTAAGGCCCTTTCAACTCTTAAGATTTTATAGCTTTATAATTCTTTGCAGAAAACAGTAAACACAGAAAAGGGATTCCCCACTTAAGTAAACACAAGGCTATTGGACCTAAGAGCAGTGTACTTCTAACGACAACTAGAAAATATTTGCAGATGTGACCTATATACTCTTGAGTATCAACATTCAGTGAAAAAGGAAAGGCCTACACCTACATTAAAAAAAATTATAGTAGCACTTTTGGTTGTAGCAAAGAACTGAAAAAAAAAGTGGGTGCCTATCAGTGGGGAATGGCTAAACAAATTACAGTGTATTAATGTAATGGAATATTTTTATGGTGTAAAAAAGTGACAAAAGGAACAGATTCAGAGGAACTTGAAAAGACTTATATAAACTACTGCAGAGTGAAGTGTGCAGATCAGGAGACAATTCATATGACTACAATAATGTAAAGGAAAAAAACTGAAAATTTTTAGAACTCTGATCATTTCAATGACCAATTATAGCTCCAGAAGGCTGATGACGAAGTATGCATCCCACTCATTGGCACAGAGGTGATGGACTGTAGGAACAGAGTAAGACATGCATTGTCTCAGTCATGACTGAATGTATAAATTTGTTTTGATTGATTTTACTTATTTGCTACAAAGAAAGGCTTTTATTTTGAGAAAGGGGAGAACTGTGGGAAGCAGTGAGTGGGTAGTTATAGTGATAAAAAAGGAGGAAAAAATGATCATCAATAAAACATTTTAAAAATACACAGAAGAAATCAGAAGGAACTTCATAAGTGTATAGGGACAAGCAGGGTAAGGGTGGCATTACTATATTTAATAAATACTTTAAAAAACTAAGTTTCATATAAAACTTTTACTCTTCTTTATACAAGGAAATGTGGGTTTGGTGATGTTTATCAAGTTCATAACAAAAAAAGGTAATGTCTTTCATTAAAGATCCAAAGCAGTAAGAAATTAACAAAAATTGAGGCCAAAGCAACTCAAGAACTTGAGATCCAAAGGGGTTTTCTTCATTAGGTGGACAGACTATCTTTACATACATTTTAGTAAATATCTTTGCTACAGTATGTATAAGCTTGATTTAAAATTTCTTTCCATTTTTGGCACATGTAAATACCCAGGAGATTTTGATTAGTCTTTTACAAATGTCAGAACCAATAAGCTCTTTCAAAAGGCTAGAGAAAAAAAATGGACTTTTTCAAACTCAAAAACATCAATGCAGTTTACTAGTTTAGAAAAAGAGGCTATATTTTGATAGATGTTGAATACTGTCAATGCTAACTTAAGCATCAAGGCATGGTACTTCAGTTATAATTTTTCTTGGTCATTCTTGTTGTCAGCAATTGATATTAATTTTGATTTGATTTTGAAATTGTGTTTTAAAGGACCTAAAAATGACTCAAAGTAAAACTACTTTACCACAAATTAAAATTAAGATTTCCAAAATAAGTAAAAAACTGTTAACCAAACTGAGAACATATATTTTGCATATGGAAACAAAAAGCAAGTCAGACGAAGACTACTGTAGTTTATACAAGCTTCGATCTTATAATTCTGAACAAATGACTAGTGGCCTATTTTCCTCAAGATGCATAACTTTTAGGGACAGCTAGGTGGCGCACTGATAAAGCACTGCCTTGTAGTCAGGAGGACCTGAGTTCAAATCCAGTCTCAGACCAGACACTTGACACTTACTAGGTGTGTAACCCTGAGTAAGTCACTTAACCTCAATTGCCTCGACAAAAAAACAAAACAAAAACATGCATAACTTTTTTTGCTGACTACATAAAATGCTGCATTCCTCTAGGATCACATTTCTCTGGCCAGCAGAACACACCACCAAAGATGTGGCTCCTCTGTGTACATCTTCCACCCTGCCAATTCAACTGACAACCTCTAGGTAGTTGCCCATTCCCTTAGGAGGGGATTTGAATTTAGCCAAAACCCCTTGGGCTGGAGGCAAGTATTCTTACATAAACTGACCTTTGGAGTATCTCTTTAATGGGAGAGATATGCCAGACCACAAATCACAATGCATATACCTTATGTGCAAAACAATCTTGTACCTCACATTCTAAATTCAGGCTCTCACTCTCAGCTGACAGATCAGTGAGGATATCCTGTAGAGAAAACACATTGAAAGGAATATAACTTGGACTTTCTGTGACAGCCAGGTTTATACTGAGTTACTTGCATAAACACCTCAATATTAAAGAAGACTAGTAAAAAAAAAACCCTAATCTTTTATACAATAAATGTGTAAATGTAGCATGTGTCCTCAGTCAGGAAGGGCAAAATTTTGAAACTTTCTATGTCATAAGTTATTAGAGCAATTTAACATAAGCTATACAAAAACCACCAAAACCCACTGGTTTTTTAGAAAACAACCCCTACCAACCACATGGGATAGAAGAGATGTTCAAGACACTGTCTTTACCCCAAAGGATACATATTCTAGTTAGGGAGACCAGATGAATTTCACTATATTAATATAACCTTTCAGTTAAAATGCAACAATTTATCCCAATTTCTATATGAGTACCCAATTCATTTTCTTGTTTTAATTCCCCAAAGTTTTCCTGCATCCCCCACAACTCTTTCACACTAAAAAGTATCCCCCAGCCCCTAGCTCTGCAAGAGAAGGGCCTTATTATACCATTAGCTTACCACATTTTATCACACTGAATATTCCTATTCACCTTCCAGCCTCTGTCCCCCTCATTCCCAGATCCAACATGTCAGGCTCATTACCTGGAGAGACATGGTTCCTCTTACAGCTACCACAATAGTTTCTTTCCTATGATCTAAAGCGACTAAAAAAGGAAGTTCAAACACCTGAGGATCAAAAAAATAACAATAACATTAAGCATTTAATTCAAAAAAATATTAGAGGCTTAATATTCAATTTAGTTCAATAAGTAATCATTAAGTACTTATTATGTGTAAGGCATTGATCCAGGGATACAATGGATTCTTGCTCTCAAAGAACCTTATACAGTCTATTGAAGGGGACAGACAAAAGCAGAACAAGATAAGAGGAGGAGAGAGAAAACACTGATGACAACAGAGAAGACTTTAAGGAGAAGCCAGCATGTGCACTGAGGTCAGGAAGAAGAAAATTCTTCTCAGAGGTGAGAATGCGGAGGTGGAGGAGGAATGCATTCCATATATAGAGCACCACTTGTGAAAATGCACAGAGGTGCGAAATGGAATATCACATTTGGGGAAACAGCTAGCATGGATGGAACATATCGATCTTGGAGGGAAACAGTATGAAAACAAGGCTGGATAGGAAAGTGGGAAGCAAGCCACAGAGGGCCCTGGATAAGAGGCTGAGGGGTTTATACTTTATCCTAGAGGCAATAAGGAGCTACTGAAGGTTTCTGAGTAGAGGAGTAACATGACATAATGGGATGAAGGGAGAAACTGAAAGCAGGGAGAACAATCTGGAAGCAATTAAAGCAGTCCAAGAAAGAGAGTATCAATGAGGCTGGTGGACACATGAAAAGAGAGAAAGTAATGGATACAAGAGATGTTGTGGTTAAAAAATCAACAAGACTTGGTAATGACTGGGAATGCAAAGTAGTGGGTGGAGGAAAGGGAAGAGTCTTGGACTACTCTGAGCTTACAAGCCTGGGTGACTGGGAAGATACTGGTGTTTTTAAAAGAAATAAGGAAGTTTAGAAGAAGAGAAGCTTTAGGAGAAAAGATAATGAGTTTTAGTTGCCTATAGAATATCCAGAAGGAAATGTGCAATATGCAGCTAATGATGTGAGACTAGAGCTCAGGAGAGCTAGATATATAACTCTGGGAGTCACTTGTAGAGATGATGCTTGATCCAGTGGAAGCAAATGAACTTGCTGAGAAAGAATATGAATGAGAGAAGAAGAGAGGACTCAGGAAACAACTCTATGGGACCTAAGAAGATAAGACATGAATGAAGAATCAGCAAAACTGAGAAGGAACAGTCAGACAGAAACAAAGAGAACTGGGAAAGCAGTGTCACAAAAGTAAAAAAGGTGAAGAGAGCATCCAAGAAAAGGAGATGGTCAATAATGTCAAAAACTGCAGAGGATCAAATAAGAACTGAGACTAAGTCAAATAATGGATTTAGAGAACATTAGTGAGCTTAGGAAGGGTTGTTTCAATGTGGTCAGAAGCTAGTTTGCAAGGATTATAGGATTATATAATTAGAATTGAAAAGGCCTAGGGATCATCTAGCCCAAACATTTCATTTTAAAATGAGGGAAAAGTGGAGTTTGAATGCACATGGAAGCATACTATTTGCTTTTTTTTCTTCTGTTGTGTTGTTTCCTCCTATTGGTTCTAATTCTTACTTACAACATCACTAATGTGAAAATATGTTTAACAGGAATGTATGTGTATAGCCTATATCAGATTGCATGCTGTCTTGGGGAGGGAGGTAGAGAAAAATTTAAACCCCAAAAAGCTTATGGAAGTGACTGCTGATAATTCAAAATAAATTTAAAAAAAAAAAAAGATGAGACGTTAAAGTGACTTGGTCATGGGGTTGGAAGGCAAGGAAAGAAGAGGAGATGTGTATTCCAGGATATGGACGCAGAAAACAGAGATAATGCTTTCCAGGAGCTTCACAATGAAAAGGAGGAAATTTCATTCAGCCCTGCCATTTCCAGGAAACAGCAGGGCCAAATGAAATTTTTTAAAGAATGGGGTAGACAAGCTATTTGTAGATTTGGTGTCTTCTTTCCTCCCATCTTATTTTATACTTTATATAAAAAAATTAGCACAAGGTTTTGCTAGCCTACCTTATCATGAAAGCTGATGTGAATGAAATCCCTGTAGTGTAGCCCAGTTGTCTTCAGGATGGATCCAAAATGACAACTGAGATGATCACCTCCAATAAATTCATATTCTGCTGTTCTATTTCTGCAACTAAGAAAACAGATTGAAAATAAAGTTATTAGGGCAATCTGAGTTACAAATGAAGAAAACAACTCTTCACTGTCAGTGCCTAGGAAAGCAAAAAAACAAAAGAACTAGAGTTTACAGCTTCCAGATGTTTAGTTAGCAAGTATGAGAGCTTTCAGAAGATGAAAGCAATTATTTAAGAACAAAAGGTTTTCTAAAAGGCAATGAGAAGAACATAAAGGTGCTCTTGAAAATAAACAGTTTTTAAAAGGCAACCCAATTTTAATTCCCCAACAACAGGAAAACAGAACTAGTGAATTTGTATTTAAGCAGGGACCATAGGAGATCTTCATCTTTGTCAGCTATCAAAATCTCCAGAACTGGCCCAAAAGAAAAGCCCAGGATTTTGCAAAGTAGTGCAGAAAGTCTGAGAAAGTTTTAGATTTCATTGAGATAAGAGGAAAATATAAATACTACTATCCCTGTAAAGCTGTGAACTCTATTTATAGAAATGTTTATTTCTTCCTTAAACAATAGGAGTTAATTTTTATATTTCTCATGATTTCCAAGCTTGATTTCCCAGATTCTGGTATTCCTGTGAATGTGGAAAAGTAGCTGGATTCATATAGCAATCTTTAAACTTGAGCAACTTAAAATTCATATTTGTATTTCGCTTGATGAATCGGGTAAAATTATTATTCGCATCATATTTTTTCTAGTTGATTTTTTTTTAATTAACACATATACATTTACTTGTCTTCTGGCTTGTTGAAGCAGCAGGTTTGACAACACTTGCCACAATAATGTCTGTCAAAATGGCTAGCCATAAAGACCCCAGCACCACATTCATCAGAAGGGCACTCTCATTGAAGGCAGCTGATCTTGCCATTCTCATCAGTCTTACAGTACTTCAGAACTGCAAGCTTAACCTTCTTTCTCTTATGCTTGTTCTTTTTGGGAGTGGTGTAAGACTTCTTCTTTCTCTTCTTGGTACCACCACGAAGCCTCAGAACAAGATGAAAGGTAGACTCCTTCTGAACGTTGTAGTCAGATAAAGTTCAACCACCTTCCAGTTGACCGCCTGCAAAAATCAATCTTTGTTGATCAGGGGAATACCTTCCTTATCTTGTATCTTGGCTTTCACGTTTTCAATAGTATGGGACGGTTCGATCTCGAGGGTGATGGTCTTCCCTGTCAAAGTCTTCACAAAAATCTACATTGTGGCACTGGGTCCACCCGTTGATGGCAGATCCGAAAGAAAGCTATTCATATCATATTCTCTGTTCTCTGAGCAGTGACTGTTGGTGCCACACCTTTGCAGCTTTAAGAGCAAAAGTACTGATTTCTGAATACAATTATGCCAAAATTAACAGAAGAATAGAGTGGCTTTTCCATGTAAGATGATTTGGAAATACAAAGAACTGTTGTATTAATGTTATCTGATTAGCAATAAGCTTTTTTATTTCATGTTTTAAATCTAGGTTACTGTTTTGTGTTAGTGTATAGTTTTTGCATTGTAGCTGCATCTGGAAAGTAGAAATTAACTACTCAGAATATCCTAACCTGGACGCAATTAGATGACCCAGTGGATAGAGCACCAGCCCTAGAGTCAGGAGGAATTGAATTCAAATCTGACCTCAGACATTTAATAGCTGGGCAAGTCACTTAACCCTGATTGCCTCAGCACCTCATCTATAAAATGTGCTGGAGAAAGAAATGGTAAATCACTCTAGCATCTTTGCCAAGAAAACCTCAAATGGGGTCATGCAGAGTCGGACACAACTGAAACAACTCGACAACAATGACAGAAGTATGCTAACCTACCAATCACCACCAATCCTGCAGAAACCTGTAAATGGATTTGTATAAATATAAAGAGGCCACCCATAAGCAGCTGCTGCAAACTGCACATAATGGTGACAATTTTCCAATTCTGTATCCAAATCGGATTCCTAGAGAGGAGAAAAAAAAATTCCTGTTTAGTTCAGTCAAATGCAGAAAATGCCAACACACGAAAGACCTGGGACTGATATCAAATCCCTACAGTTTCATTCTTACAGTTTTATAACCACCTCTAACTCAAAATATATAAAGGATATGAACAAGCAAAGTGGCCCTCAAACAAAGACTGAGGCTAATACTTTTTTCAAACTTTTTCAATATAGTGCAACATTAAGCCTTCAATAAACTTTCAAACTGTTATTGATATTGTGCTGATTTTTCCCCTTATTCCTCTTTTTATTTAAAAAAATATTATTTGTCATATGAGGTGGCTTTCTAAAAGGGGGAAGGAAAGGAGAAATTGTGGTGATATAAGAAAAAGATAACAAAAATTTATTTTAAGAAAAGGTAGTATGGCATGCTAGCTCTTTTGCTATATTTACATCAAGACTAAAGGAGAAGGAAGGGACCAATTCTAGGAGCTCCAGGTAAAGAGTCTGATGATACTAAAGATGTGAGGAATCACTAATGTCTCAGAAAGGAAAAGGGGAGAATGGATTTGAGTTCAACAAACCAGGAATAATAATAATAATAGTAGTAGCTATAATTTACATAGCACTTACTATGTACCAGGCACTGTTGCTAAGCACTTTATAATTATTATCCCATTTGGTCCTCACAGGCAAAATGCTATTATGATCCCCATTTTACAGATGAGGAATTGAGGCAAACAAAAGGTTAAATTAGTTACACAGCTAGTATGTCTGAGGTCACATTTGAACTCAGGTCTTCTGACTCCAGGTCTAGCACTCTATCTACTTCATCACCTACCTGCTCCAACATATAACATTAAGACTGGTTGCTACATTAATCCCACATGCCAAAACTGTTCATTCCTGCCTATCAAAGAACATTTTCTAAGGTAAGATCCTCTATTGGAGCCATGGGAATCAATGTGACTGGTAGGATTCATTTTATAGAAATGTACATCTTTGCTAGCTTCTATCTATATAAGCAATACAGATCGCATAGAGAAAATTAAAAAGCAAGCATGTTGTCATCTTTTTAGGATACTAACAGTCATATAACCTTAAAACTAGAAAGAACCTTAGAAATTATCCAGTCTAACCCCTTCTTTTGGAAAATTTGAAAACAGGTCAAACAACTCATAGCAGAGATGGAACTAGAATCTGGTCCTCTTACCCCTAATGTCTTTTCTACTACACTACATTTCCTTTAACTTAGATTGTACCAACTCTTCTGTAAGAAGCATATTCATCTTAGAACACCACTGGTGAAAATCTCTCAAATGTTACCTGCTGAGGAAAAATAAGCAAAATGGATCAATGGCCTGAGAGCATACCTTATGAAGCTGGGGCCATCCACACTGTTCTACTTTCCCAGTTACCTTTTACAACATGACTGAGGCATGCTGACAAAAGATGGAGGACCAGAATAGGGCTTTGCCTGATGCAAGAAGAGATGACTTTAGTCCACATGACAACCAATTTGACCTTCTCAAAAGTACAATTTAGGCTCTTTTCCTCTATCCCAAATTTATTATGAAAAGGGAAGGGCAAGGGAAGGTGTCATTCTAACTAATTAAATTTACTTTTCAGTGACTGTGAAATGTAAGGTTGAGCTTAATTAACAAGAGCAAGATAATGAACACAGACTGGGCAATTTTCTTTTTCAAAAGCAAAAGATCATTTCTACGGAGAAAAACTATGCCATCATCAAGCAAGGAAAGTACACTAGAACACATAAACCAAACGTAGTTCCTTATGTTTCACTAGACAAAGACTCAAGCTAAATGGCAGGAGGAAACTTATCAAATGGGAGGTAAAACGGGAAATTTTTCTGTCAGCTGTCAAAACTGAAGAGATGACTATATTGCTATATAAGTTTTCTTCAGAATTTTACTCATTACCGTGAACATTCATTTCTGAATTCAGAGTAATGTGAAAACACCTTACTCTGAATTGCTTCAAACCATGTGCAATCAACAGAAGGCAAAAAATTACATTTTTATTAAAGAAATACCTAAACTGCCAAAGAATATGTACGCATGTGTGAATCCGCAAAATAACATCTTTTATTTTAAAAAATACAATCCAGTAAAAATATCACAGAAGATATTCTTCTGGTTTTCTGCTTGAAATACTGCAGAAAAGTATTTCCTATTAAACTTTAGCATTTTTACGAATCTGTTCTGCAAAGCCATTTTGTCCAATGAAGACTTACCTGGGAGGCCACTAGGGAATGGCTTACAACTTCCTCAAGATCCTTTCTTTTCTTATCTTGCTGCTGATGGAGAAGAGTTAAACCTGCAGCTATATCGCTAGGCACAAGATCAGTGTCCTGCATAGACAAAATAAAAATGTTTTGCATAAAAACTGCAAAATCAACTGTTAAAATTCACATGTAAATTACATTTAAAAAATATATCTTCCTCTGCACATAACAGTTAAAAGTAAGGGACATATCAAATCTTTCAAAAGTAAAAATACCACTCCTCCTCCCCAAAGAAAAATCTAGAACTCTCAAGACTGGAAAGCACAGAAAATATCCTAATCTTTATTTTAATACCCAAGTGATTTAACTATCTTTGTAATCATCTTGTCAAGTTTAAAATAAATATAAACCCAGATGACATAAAAGAAGACTTTCTTTGGCAGAAATAAGACTTGAAGGTAAATTTCTATAAAAATGAACTTTTCCTCATAAAGAATTGAAAGCTGTATTGGAAAGCTTTCCTCCTTGTGTCAGATCTTGTCTGCGGCTGTGCTTTATCTTGAAGAAAAGACATAGATAATTCAAAATTCCCTAAATCACTTCTATGGTTGGGGACCTCTAACAGCACAATTAATCTTACCTAAAGAGTCTTCCTAATGCCCATCTCTCCGAACTTTCCCGTAGTCTGCACATGACCAAATTAATATTCCAAAAGCACCAAATAACATGCTTAACACACCCCTAATCAAACACCTTAAATTGTTCCCCATGTTCAAGGCTTTCCACAATATAACTTGACTTTATATTTCCAGTCTTATCTCCTACTACATACTCCTGCCTACATAAAACCTTCTGTTGCAGCCAAATAAGCAGCATCATACAGCAGAATAAGAGAAATGGACTCCAAATTCTAGAACAGAGAAGCATTCAAACTCTTGCAGCCTAAATGGGAAACTTACTTCAAGGATACTACTTAAGAAAATAATATTCCTTTTCCCAACTGATAAATGATCAAAAGGATACGAACAGGCAGTTTCCAGAAGAAGAAATCAAAGTTATAAACAACCATATGAAAAAAATGCTCTAAATCACTAACAATTCGAGAAATGCAAATGAAAACAACTATTAGGTAACCACCTCTCACATATGTAAGATTGGCTAAGAGTTCCGCTTCTGGGAGCCAAGATGGCGGAGTAAAAAGGTAGTCGCTCTCACCCTCCCCTATTAACCTCTGAAAACCCAGAAAATATCACCCTAGGGAAAAAAAAAACCTGGAACAGCTGAACTAGAAGAAAGACAGGGAACAGCAGTACAGCAGACCAGCAAACGGGTCTCCCAGTGCCTCAGCAAAAATAAGGAAAGCAGCACTACAAAGGGCCCCAGGAGGATAAGCACCCTGCAGCATTCATCTGAAGGGAGCTGAAGAAAACAACCTAGAGTCTTCCTAAAGTCCTAGCCTTGCTGATTCCAACCCAACGCCAGGTAAGCTGTCGAAACCCTACAGCCTCCAACTGTCAACCAGGAGGACATCCTGAAGCCCAGGTGGTAAAGCAGGAAAACACCAACACCTGGGCCTCCAAGTGCTTCAGTGAGGGTGGGGGAACCGGTGGATACCAGCCTTGGCACTCTACTGCAAAGGAATCTCCCTTTGAATTAGCAGAAACCAGGGAAGCAGCATTGCAAGGGGCCCCAGGCAGATAAACACCCTGCAGCACCCATCTAAAAGGAACTGAAGAAAGCTAAAGGAAAGGAAAAGCAGGCAACCTAGAATTGCCTGAAAGTTCCAGCCTTGCTGATTCCAGCCCAACATGAAGCAGAACTAGAAGAAAGACGGAGAGCAGCAGTGCAGCCGCCCAGCAAACGGGTCTCCCAGTGCCTCAGCAAAAATAAGGGAAGCAGCAGTACAAAGGGCCCCAGGTGGATAAGCACCATGCAGCATTCATCTCAAAGCAGCTGAAGAAAGCAACCTAGAGTCTTCCTAAAGTTCCAGCCTTGCTGATTCCAACCCAACACCAGGTAAGCTGCCAAAACCCTACAGCCTCCAATTGCCAACATAAGAGGCCCCAGCACACAAAGCCAGTGACCAAGACCTAGGCTGCCAACACAAGAAGCTTGGGTCAGTGCCCTCTGTTCCCCAGCAGGAGAGCTCAATCTCTTTAAAGGCCAGGGAATAAAGAAACCATGAGTAAAAAGAAACATAACATAGATTCATATTATGAGAAGAGTGAAGATCAAGACAGAAATTCTGAAGAGGACAACATTGTCAACAAACCCACATCTGCAACATCAAAAGGGAATATGAACTGGTCTGAAGCCCAAAAAACCTTCTTAGAAGAGCTCAAGAAGGATTTTAAAAGTCTAATGAGAAGAGGCAGAAGAGTCCTTAAAAAATACAATTGGCCAACTGGAAAAAAAGTACACTGAAGAAAACAAGTCCCTAAAAACACAACTGGCAAACTGGAAAAAAAAGTACACTGAAGAAAACAAATCCCTTAAAAATACAACTGGCCAATTGAAGAGGGAAGTACAAAAACTAACAGAAGAAAACAATCTGTTAAAAACTAGAATTGGACAGATGGAAACTAATGACTCTATGAGAGAGCAAGAATCAGTCAAACAGAAACAAAAAAATGAAAAAATAGATGAAAACATAAAATACCTCATCGGTAAAACAACCGACCAGGAAAATTGATCCAGGAGACTCAATTTAAAAATCATTGGACTTCCTGAAAATCATGATGAAAAAAAGAGCCTGGACCGTATCTTTCAGGAAATCATAAAGGAAAACTGCCCAGAAGTCCTAGAAAGAGAAGGTAAAATAACCACAGAAAGAATACACCGCTCACCACCTCAAAGAGATTCCAAATTAACAATACCAAGGAATATAATAGCAAAATTCCAAAATTACCAGATGAAAGAGAAGGTGTTGCAAGCAGCCAGAAAGAAACAATTTAAATATCATGGAACCACAGTCAGGATTACACAGGACCTTGCAGGTTCTACATTAAAAGACTGCAGGGCATGGAACATGATATTCCATAAGGCAAAGGAACTTGGATTGCAGCCAAGGATCAACTACCCTGCAAAAATGAGCATGATATTTCAAGGGAGGAGATGGATATTCAATGAAACAGGGGACTTCCAAACCTTCCTCATTAAAAACTAGAGCTCAACAAAAAATTTGATCTTCAAGTACAAGATTCAAGAAAGACATAAAAAGGTAAAGGGGACAGAAAGATATACAACATTGTTAATAAGGGAAGACTGTTTACATCCCTACAAGGGAAGATGACACTTGCAACTCTTGATTTTTTCATTCTTTTTGATTTGTTTTACAGTGTCTTGATTGCTCATAAAGTCACTATCTTCCAATTGCTCTATTCTAATTTTTAAGGAAGTATTTTCTTCAGTAATCTTTTGGACTTCCTTTTCCATTTGGCCAATTTTTCTTTTTAGGGCATTTTTCTCCTCATCGACTTTTTGGACCTCTTTTGCCATTTGGGTTAGGCTGTTTTTTAAAGTGTTATTTTCTTCAGTATTTTTTGGGGTCTCCTTTAGCAAGCTGTTGACTTGTTTTTCATGATTTTCTTGCATCACTCTCATTTCTCTTCCCAGTTTTTCCTCTACTTCCCTTACTTGCTTCTCAAAATCCCTTTTGAGCTCTTCCAAGTCCTGGAACTGATTCATATTTTTCTTGGGGGCTTTGGATGTAGGAGCTTTGATTTTGTTGTCTTCTTCTGGTTGCATATTTTGATCTTTTTCACCAAAGTAAGATAATATAGTCTGACTCTTTTTGCGCTGCTTGCTCATGATTCCAGCCAATTACTTGAGTTTTAAACTCTTTGTTAAGGTAAGAGTCTGCTTCCAATGTGGACAGTGTACTGTCCCAAGCTTCAGGGGTTTGTGTAGCTGTTTTCAGAGATAATTGTAGGGACCTGTAAATTTTCAGTTCTTGATAAGGGGTGAGGTGTTTATTCCTTTCCTGGCCTGTGAGCACAAGTATTCCTTTCTGTCCTATAACTGTGAGGAGGGGATCCTCTCCACAGTGACTACAAGCTCCACCACGCCAGCGCTCCTCCTCACCCCAGCACTGCCGCCCAGAACTGTGACCCACATCCACACACAGGCAAAGCAAGAGGTTCCTGCCTCAGCACTGGCAAACAGATCTCTGCAGCCCCTCTCTGATCAGCCACTGGATTCCCCCTCAGTCTGTGGGCCGGAAGCTCGGGAAGCAGCTGCCCCCCCTCCCCCCAGGGCCACGCTCTTGGGGAATGGAGCTGAAACCCCGCCTTCCTCTCTGACCACCGACAGAAACAGACTTTTCCCACTGACCTTCTAAGTTGTTTTTGGCATTCGTGGATTGAGGAGTCTGGAAACCTCCACAGCTGCCCGCGATTCAGTCCTCTGAGGCCTGCTCCAGGTTTGCTGCGGCCTGCGCACCCATGCTGCGCTGTGCTCCTAGCCTGGCACAATACACCTTTCTGATCAATCATCCAGGTTGTCTTGGGCTGGAAATTTGTTTCACTCTGTCTTTTTGTGGGTTCTGCTGCTTCAGAATTTGTTTAGAGCCATTTTTTATGAGTATTTGGAGGGGTTTGGGGGAGAGCTCAAGCAAGTCACTGCTTTCACTCCACCATCTTGGCTCTGCCCCCACTTGCAACTCTTGAGAACTGTATTGTTATTACACCATGTTAAAGGAGTATCCATAAAGGGGGTGGATATTAGTTAACTTTGATGTAATGATTAAAAAAAATTCTAATCAAGTAGGTTAAGTGGATCCAAGTAAGTGGATTAGTCTGATCTTAGAAAATGTACTGAGAAAGGAGGAGGCAGACAAGGGTAAATTACATTACAGGAAAAGACAGAAGAAAGAAAGAAGGGAGGGGGTGAGCATTGTTTGAACCTTACTCTCATCAGATTTGGCTCAAGAAGGGAATAACATAATCAGTTAGGTATAGAAATCTAACTTGCCCTACAGGCAGTAGGAGAGAAAAGGGGAAAGAAAAGGGAGGGGGGATAGAAAGGAGGGAAGAAGCAGTAAGGTCAAAGGGGAAGAAAAGGGAAAGGGATAATAGAAGGGAGAAGAGACTGAAGGAGGTGGTGGTCAAAAGCAAAACACTGGGGGGGGGAAGGAGAAAGGAGAAAGAAAAGCATAAACGGGGGGAAAGGATGGAGAAAAAGACACAGATAATAATCATAACTGTGAAAGTTGAATAGCCATCTTTTTTTTTTCTCTTCTGTTGAGTTTTGTTTCCTCTTTCTCATGATTCCTCCTATTGGTCCCAATTTTTACTTACAACTTCACTAATGTGAAAAATTTTAAACTCAAAAGCATATGGAAGTGATTGTCGATAGAGCAAAATAAATTAATAATAATAAAAAAGGAAAAGTCCTTGAAAAAAAAAAGATTGGCTAACATGACAAAAAAGGAAAAAGACAAATGCTGGAGGAGATGTGGAAAAACAGGGAGACTAATGCACTGCTGGTAGAGTTATGAAATAATCCAACCATTTTGTAGAACAATTTTGAACTCTGGTCAAAGAGCAGAAAACTAGGCATACACTTTGACCCAGCAATACCACTACTAGGTCTGTATCTCAAAGAGATCAAAGAAAAAGGAAAAGGACCTAGTTGTACAAAAATATTTATAGCAGGTCCTTTAGTGGTAGCAAAGAACTGGAAATTGAGGGCTTGCCCATCAAGTGGGGAATGGCTGAACATGTTATAGTACATGACTGTGATGGACTACTACTGTGCTATAAGAAGTAACAAAGGGGATGGTTTCAGAAAAACCTGGGAAGACTTACATGAACTGTTACAAAAAGAAGTGGGCAGAACCAGGAGAACATTATATATAGTAACAGCAACACTGAAACAATAATCAACTACAAAAGCTACTCTGATCATTAAAATGATCCCTGACAATTCCAAAGGACTCATGATGAAAAATTATTTAGAAATGAAATTCAAATGAAATTAGAACTGAAAAACATTCAGAGAGAGAACTGATATAGATAAAAGCATTTTTTTTCAAGGAAAAGGGCCTGTGTGCACAAAAATATATTTACAGCAGCTCTTTTAGTGGTGGCAAAGAATTGGAAATTGAGGGGATGCCCATCAACCAGGGAATGGCTGAACAAGTTGTTGTAAAGAATACTACTGTGCTTAAAGAAATGATGATCACGGGGGAGCACGTAGATGGGACAGTGGATAGAGCACCTGCCCTGGCTTCAGGAAGACCTGAGTTCAAATCTGACCTCAGACACTTGACAATTACTAGCTGCATGATCCTGGGCAAGTCACTTCGCCCTACTGCCTCACCAAAAAAAAAAAAGAGTTAAGAAATGATGAGCGGGATATTCATAGAAAAACATGGAAAGACTTCCACAGACTGATGCAAAGTGAAATGAGCAGAACCAGTAGAACACTGATACACAGTAAGAGCAATATCGTATGATGAATAACTTAGCTATTCTCAGCACTACAATGATCTAAGACAATTTCTGTAGGACTTATGATGAAAGGTGCTGTCCATTTCCAGAGAAATAACTGGTAGAGCCTGGATGCAGGTCAGAGATACTTTTTCTTTACTTTCTTTATTTTTCTTTTTTTTTTGTCTGTGTTTTCTTTCACAGAATGATTTACATGGAAATGTATTTTGCATGACTACACATGTATAACCTATGTCAAACTGCTTGCCTTCTCAATGGGAGAAGAGAGGGGAGAGAAAGAATTTGCAACTCAAAATTTGGAAAAAAAACCATTAAAATTGTTTTGACATGTAATTGGAAAAAAATAAAATATCAAACAAGATTTTTTAAAAAAGCTTTTTTTTCACTTTATTTTGCAACATGACTACTACGGAAATATGTTTTGCATGACCACATGTACAGTGGGTATCACGTTGCTTGTCTTCTCAATGGCTAGGGAAAGGACTGGAGGTAGGGTAAGAGGGAGAGAATTTATAACTCAATATAAAAAATGTGAATGTTAGAAGTAAAAAAAGAAAGAAAAAAGATTCCTTTAGTCACTGCTGCTAAGGCATGTAGTTAGGCCACAGGATAAACATTGAATCATCTAAACACAGTAGAATCATTATTACACATGCGAACCCTGTTTACTGGCAGCTGCTCTGTAATCTTTGGAAAAATTTCTCCCCTTCCCCCCTTCCCAAACTAACACAAATGTATATGAAGTGATATCTCTTTTATACTGACTATAATAGTTAGGTTTTTCTCAGGGGAAAAAACCTAACTAACTATGTGAAATTTTAAAATGCAAGTTTGATGTGAAAAGAAAATAAATATGCCCAAATGGCTCACTAAATAGCTCTGGAAAAGGTTACAATAATGCTATTCTCTACTACTATAGCCAACACCAGCTTTTCTTTCAAAATATAATATTTTCTTTCTTATCATATGATGTTAAAAAGCAAGCAGCACATGATTGTCTTTTCCTATCTTGTGGCAAGAAAGTTATTCTTCTCACAAAGGAATAGTTGAGTAATAATATCCTCTAGGATATATGTAAAAGAAACCTGTTTCTTGAATAAATGCATGAATATAAATAAAGGATTAGATGCTTCGTTACTGATCTTATACTCTTTACACATGTTTTCATTGGTCAAAACCTTATAGTTGTACTGAATCAGTAGTTGTTACTGGGTAACATGGCCTATTACATAAAAGTGATAAAACTTGAAAAATGAGTATTCCTGAAATCAATGATTTCCTATAGTTCCTATATTAAGCTGGGTGAAGTACTCAAAGAGTTTTTTGGTATGAATAGGAAAATGGCTCACATCACCGAGTTCAGCTCTTAATATAAAAAGTATTTATTCCAACAGAAGAGGACAAATCAAATCCCTTCAGCTTACTGAAAAGTAGGTTGAGAAAAGCTCTGCTGTACTGGAAAAAGCAACTCGAGTGTGGTCATCTTTCCCAATGCAACAGCACATTAACTTGATCCTAGTTTCCCACACACTTCTTGCTGCTGTCTTGAGGCCATTCAATAGTTGGCTTGAATCATTAGTATCCAGGGGATCTGTACTGGAAGTAGAATAAGGAGACATTTTCCCTCCCAGTGGATCAAAGACAATAATAACGGTAACCACAGTAGAAGCGATGATTATCCAACTGCAAAACAGAGAGGAAAAAGCTTGGTGACCATGAGTCTTACATTCAAATAAAGAAACCTATAGTTTTTACTCATAGGAGTAAATACTTCAACTTCTATTTATAGACATAGTGACTCTATCTGTAAAGATTATTCTTTAAGAAGGTTATGTTTTTTAGAAATTGGCTGAAGAAAGGAAATAACTGCATTGAAAAAAATTAGTACTGTATTAACCAATACCAAACTTGAAAGAAGAGCTGAGATAAATAAACAGAAAAAAAAATTCCAAAGAAAAACCAAGTGCTAATGGAGAAAGCAAAAGAGTAAGCTTGAACACAGTCTTAGGGTTGTCCTCAGTTCTAATTCCATTACTGACATTCCGTATGGCCTGGGTTAAGTACTTTACAAAGAAATAAAGGCATAGAAGAGTAAAGCAAAGAGGCTAACCTGATCTCTCATAAGATATCTTGAAAATCCAGAAGGTACTGACTACAATTTACTTTGATTACTTCAGAAGGCAACATAATACAAAACCACTCCAGCTATGGGATGCCAGGCATTTTTTGGAAATTTTTTTTTGGGGGAGGGGGCAGAGAATGAAGGGAAGAGAGAAGCCTGTTCTCCTTAACTTGCCTAGGATAAAAAAGGCTCTCAAAAGGCTTATGTTAATACTGATCAGCATGTAAACTTTAACCTGATTCATTTTTCTTATCTGGGCTGATTTGCCCCTTAGGAAGTAGTACTGATGGCCCTCCATTCTTGGGGGATTTCTCTCCATATTAGAATAGAACTTAGTATAGACACCTGACTGCCTTCTTGCATCTCAGAATCTCCCAACTCAGGCAGTGCAACAACCTCAGTCTCACCCTGGTAGCTATCATGCCCAGCACGTTTTTTTTTTTTGAAATCTTTAAAACAACAAAGATATTAAAACAGCTGATCTTAAGGTCACTCCCAGAAATACACTTCTATGGTATGTTAATCAAGATAGACCCTAGAGCTATTTCCAAGCCATTATATTCAATTATATGACAATTTTTTGTCTTCTGCCTTAGTGCATAATTGCTCTATTTTTTGCCCCTTCTTACAAGAAGGTAAAAGGCATACAAATCAGGGTAAAAAGAACACAAAGCAGTGAAAATAAGCAAGCAGGAGGACAAGAGTATATTAATAAATGGAAAATGGCCTGTATATGTTACAATCAGACACATGTGAACCTTTTAAAACCAAGTAATTCTTTGTGAACTCTATGATTTACTAAAGAAGGTTCTATTTCTAACTGTGATGTAACAAAACTTCAGGACTAAATGTCAATATTAACCAGGAAGGCTCATTTACCCAAGTTTCAAATATGTTTCTTTCAGCAAGAAACAAAAATAGAAGATAAAGGACCTCACCTGACAATGACTGTTGCAATTATGGCATTCACAACTGTCTTATCACAGTGAACACCACTGTCTGCTATCCAAGCTGCCCCCAGAGAAGCCCAGACCATCTCTGGCAAAAACAGTGCTAGACGAATATACACCAGCTTGGGCATAGACTTCCGTGGTCCAGGATTACAAATGGTTCCTGAAATAGAGACAATGTTTAAATAATTAACTCCAAAAAAACTAAAAATATTTATACAAATGTATACATATAACCAGCAAAAAAAAATTAATTTGAAAAAGATAACCCTTGGCTATCTATATTTGTATACCAGTAACTTGAATACCTCACTTTGAGGAGAAATGAGTGAGGTATAGTAAAATGGTTGCAAAAAAATCCTTAGAAGCTAGAGATATCTAGTATATTTGTTCTGTATTTTTTAAAGTGGGTCAAAATCATCAGTAAAGAGAAAACTCTTGCAGTCACACAGTCCTCAATATCAGCAAATGTGATCCTCATCTTCTAGCCAGTTTCTAAAATTGCCCAACATTTTACTCATAAGCCCTACCTCTTTCTATAAAACAATTCAATTATTAATTACATTACTGACCTACGGAGCTTTGTACTTATACATACTTACATAAACAGTTTGGGAAATTTATTACTAACTATAATACTCATCCATTCAAAACCTTTACTCCTACACAGATGATGCCAACAACTTTATGTTACACAACCTCAACTGGGCCCTCACTACTGCTAGACAATCACACTATAGCTCACTTATCACTATCCCGCTCTCCACAGTGGTTTTCCCAAACCTTTTCATCCCTCTTCAAATCTCCTATGGCTTTCACCCCCTCCACTCTCTCAGCAGACAACCTTGTCTTTTGCAAGGGTGGGGAACCTGCAGCTTCGAGGCCACATAGGGCTCTCTAGGTCCTCAAGTGCGGCCCTTTGACAGAATCCAAACTTCACAGAACAAATCCTTTTATTAACTGTGAAATGTGGATTCAGTCAAAGGGCCCCATGTAGCCTTGAGGCTGCAGGTTCCCCACCCTGGATGTTTTACAGGAAAATAATTGAGTTCATTCACTATCAATTCCCTCTTCTCCCTTCTTCCCTCTCTCTTATCACTCTAGTGCCTTCTGCCACTCTACTCCTTCCACCCTACAGGAGTTTATCACATGATAAAGTGGCCTTACTCCTTAGCAAGGCTAACCCCTCTAACTTATTCAAATGAAATGATTCCATCCCATTTCCTCCAACAGACTGCTCCCTCTGTCATCCCCACTCTTTCACTTATTTTCAGTCTCTCTCTGCCTACTGGCTCATTCCCTACTACCTACAAACATGTGCCTATCCTGAAAAAACCCTCACTTCCATCCCCACTTACATTTGTCCTATATTTCCTTTGCCCTATGTAGCTAAATTCCTTGAAAAGGCTGTTTACAAAGGCTGTCTCTACTTTCTCTCCCCTTACTCTCTTAACCCTTTACAATATGGCTTCCAACCTTATCATTCCACCAAAACTATTCTTTCTAAAGTTACTAATGATCTCTTAGTTGCCAAATCCAGTGGCCTTTTGTAAATCCTCATTCTCCTGGACCTCTCTGAAGCCTCTAACACTGTTGCTCATTCTTTCCTCCTTGATACTCTTTTCTCTCTAGGATTCTGAGACACCACTTTCTCCTGGTTTTCCTCCTATCTACGTGACTGCTCCTTCTCTGTCTCCTTTGCTGGATCCTTTTCCAGATCACACCCTCTAAATGTAGGTGTCCCTCAGGGTTCTGTCCTGGATCCTCTTTTCTTCTCCCTCTATACTACTTCACCCAGTGATCTCATCAGCTCCCATGGATTTAATTACTATCTCTACACTGATGAGTCTCAAGTCTCTTTCCTGCCCCAATCTCCCTGCTGACTTCCAATCTTGCATCTCCAACTGCATTTCAGACACCTCAAACTAGATGTACTGTAGAAATCTTAAAATCAACATGTCAAAAACAGAACTCATCATCTTCTTCCCTAAAACTTTCCCCCACTCCTACCTCCCCTATCACTCTGGAGAGTAGTATTCTCCCAATCCCTTAGGCTCACAAACTACGAATCATCTTGGATTCCTTGATACATCTCCCAAACCCTGCTCCATCCCCACCTCCCACCCAATCTGTTATCAAGATCTGTTGATTTCACCTTTTCAACATCTCCCTTTCTCTCCTCTGACACTGACACTCCTCTAGTACAGGCTCTCATTACCTCATGCCTTGATTACATCAATAGTCTGCTAGTGGCCTCAAGTCTCTCCCCATTCCCCTCCTACCTTTCCAGTCTTCTACTTTACTTCTCAACATGTATTCTTCAACCCAGTGACACTGGCCTCCTGGCTATACTGTGAACAGGATACTCCATCTCTCAACTCCAAGCATTCTCTCCTTTCCCATCCCTGGAATGCTTCCCTACTCCAATTCAACCACTGACTTCCTTGGCTTTCATTCAGTCCCAATTAAAATTTCACCTTCTAGAGGAAATCTTCCCCAACCCCTCTTAATTCTAGTGCCTTCATTCTGTTAATTATCCTGTACACAGCTTGCTTGGTATATAGTTGTCTGTATGTTATCTCCTCATTGGATTGTAAGCTTCTTAGGGGAAAACACTGTCTTTTGTCTCTTTCTGCATCCCCAGCACTTAGCATAGTGCCTGGCACATAGCAGGTTGACTGACCATTCAAATGAAATAAATACACCAAATAATTTAAGTTTAAAGGGAAAAAATTTTAAGCACATAAACAATTTTAAGTACATAAAATACAAAGAATTATTTGACAGAATTGAAAATATCTTCCTGATAACTGTAGTTTATCTTCTTTCAAAAGTTATATCACTTTACAGTTGTATTTCAAATTCTGCTCCTTTCTTAACTTCAGTGACACTGTTCTCTTCCTAGTTTTCTTCCTCTACCTTGTCTCAGCCAGCTCTTATTTGCTAGAGGATCATTCTTCATCTCCTAGCCCCTTAATCATGTGTCCCTCAAAGCTCTGCCCTAGTCCCTCTTCTCTTTTTATAATCTTTCTACTTGATGAACTCATCAACTCTCATCAATTCAATTACAATTTCTATGCAAATGAGTCCCAAATTTTAGTATCCATCCCTAATCTTTTTCCTGAACTCCAGTTTCACATCACAAATTCTTTGATGGACATCTCTACCTGAACATACTATCAGCATACCAGGAATAATGAATTAAGACTAACAGGAACCCTAAAAATCATCTACAACCTCCTCATTTTATAGATGAAGACACTAAGTCCTGGAAAGGTTAAATGATTTGCTCAAGGTTACACAAGTAGTAAGCAGCAGAGCCAGAATGACTGCAAATGTCTTCCATCAAGCTCCATTTTGCTTGCTGTTATGTTTTCAAAAGCGCAAAAATTTTTGTTCAAATGATCTCCATTACAGTGATGTATGCATGCATATCTATCTATCTCAAAAATCGGATGTAGCTGTATGGATATTTAGCTTGCCAGCCGCCAGGGGGAAGCAGAGGATAATACTTGTTCAGGAAACAAATTGTTTCCTAAAGTGGCTAACTACCATCTTAGGAAATAACAGTAATAAAATCAACAGCACAATGGATGTGAAAGGACAACTAATACTACTATTTGTTGTTGTTCAGTCACTTCAGTTGTGTCCAATTCTTTGTTGTCCAACTCCCATTTGGAATTCTCTTGGCAAAGATGCTAGGGTAATTTGCCATTTCGTTCTCCAGCTCATTTTACAGATGAGGAAACTGAAGCAAACAGGATTAAGTGACTTGCCCAGGATCACACAGCTAGTAAGGGTCTAAGGCTGGATTCCAACTCAGGTCTTAACTCTAGGCCTGGCACTCTATCCATTGTGTTACCTCACTACCCCTAATACTACTACCAGCATTACATTAATGAGATAATTAGCAAATATGAAAACATGAGAAGTAGGTTTTTGTTGATTAAGGTTGAGGGGGATTTCTTTTTTTTTTTTTAAGGTTGAGGGGGACTTTTTTTTAAGTGTCATAATAAATTTCATTTTCACACTCATAATGAAAAGAATCAGTCTATGTGCTGGCACTGTGCAAGCCTCTGAGGGAACAAATTCAAAGAATTAAATGATCCCTACTCTCAGAGCTAATATTCTAATACAGTACAAGTAATATACATGTATAAGGATAAGGAAAGAAGACTGGACCTGTGATTTCACTGGTATATCAGGAACTCCTCAGTGAGGAAAGTCCATAGGTTTCCACGGTTCCATAGTAAAGAAAATACCTAGTGAGGAACTCACCTTTGCTACATGTTATGGTTTAAGAGAGGTACCTAGAGGTAAGTTACTTGCTTAGGGTCACATAGGCAGTAGGTGTCTTCCTGGCTTAAGGCTGGCTCTCTATCTACTATATCTTGTTGCCTCTGTACATAAGAAATAAAAGAATAAATTCTAATAAATGCAAAATAGAAAAGAAAGGTACTAACATTTGGAGAAGTGAGGGAGTAGGTGAGGAAAGGCTTCATGTAAAAGGTGGGGCTTGAGACTTGAAGGAATAGGAATTCTGTGAGGTCAAGGAGAGAAGGTGCATTCTGGGGATAGGGAGTGGCCAGTGTAAAAAAGCACAGAGCTGAGAGATGGAGTACTGAGAACAGAGGCCAGTTTGGTGGGATCACAAGAGTATAGGAAGGTATCCCACTGAGGGATGTTCAATGAGGTTATAAAGATAGCTTGGGCCAGTTTCTATTTTATCCTGGAAACAGGATAGAGCAAAAACTGAGCACAAGAGTGACATGGTCTGAGATGTTCATGGGTGAAACAATTTAAGAGCTATGAGAAGAATGGACTGGAGTAGGGAAAGACTTAAGGCAGAGAGATAAATTAGGAGATTGCTGCAATTATCAAGGACTGAAGGAGTGATGGCATAAAACCCCTCTAATTCTCAGTACTTTCTCAATCATTTTTGCTCTGACATCACTGTTCTCCCTCCTAAAAGTAACTAATTTAACTCCACATTCTCCTCTACTCTTGGCCTTGTAACTCACGGCCACTCATTTCTAGCCAAACAGCCATGGATTACTCCAATCATCCAATTCCTATGCTTTCGTTCACATGCTTTTGAAAGGCAGTGGAAAAAAGACAAACAACTCCACTGACTAGGTACATTACAAATTCATGTTATACACT